GCACTCAAGGCGTCCTGAGTCACAGGTGGAACATTTCAGGGGCTGCCACACGCAGCAGCTGGGAGCTGGCACGTGACAGCATGAACCCGTCTGAGAGGCCCCTGCACCCTGTGGCACCCAGCCACACAGCTCCCCTGCAACTCACATCTCTGGGTACTCACTGCCTGCTCCTGAGCACCGTGGCATGAGCAGGGCCTCAGAGACACTGTGGAGCTGGGAGGCCCAGGCAAGCAGGTCTCTGGGGAAGGGTCCAGTGCCTGGGCTGCCTGCAGCGGAGTGGACAGCAGTGTCAGTCACCCGGTCTTAAGGAGTACAGTTTGAACCTGACCTTTCCTCCTCTGCCTCAACATCGTGGACCCGCCAGTCTCCACCCCAGGACCCCTGCAGGGACACAGTGGCCAGGGCTACTCAGAGCCCCACTGGGCATGGCCTATGCGACCCACTGCCCTTCCCTGCCAGTCACGTGTGGCACGAGTGACTCTTTTGGGTCCCCCTGGCCCCTACATAGCCCAGAGCAGTTCCCGGACTCCTCTGCGGATCATGTATCCTTTCAGCATCCCTCTTGGGAAATTTAAATTATTTTGCCACCATCACAGCAAGACGAAGTGTTTCTCAAATTTTGAAGGTGCCAGTTGTAAACCCTGCTGAATGTGGGCTTGGCTCCTTGGCCTGGGCGGACCTGAGATTTTGCATTTCCAAGGAGCCCAGAGAGCCCAGGCCTGGCCTCCACATCCCACCCGGAGAAGCAAAAGGAGAGCGTGTGCAAGAAACTTTTAACTTAAAACCTCACGTTTAAATTAGAATCCAAGCACATCATTAAAGATTTCTCCATAAAGTAAATTTAACAAGGCAGGATATGGGTGGGGACGGTGACAGGGACCCTGTCCTACCTGCAGGTTAACATGCGCCTCCCCTGGTGTGGCTCCTCCTCTGTGGGTACCCAGGGAGGGTCTGCTGTAGGACAGGGAAGTGGAGGCAGGGTGGGGGCCAGGCCCAGAGATCTTGTTGAGGAGAACAGTGGGTCCCCCCCCAGGGAGGGTGTGGGGCAGGAGGTGGGGCGGCACCACTGCCCGTGCTCACCTGTGTAATCACCTGCTGGACAGAGGCGCCAAGATCACCTGGTTTCCTTCTCAAGTCAGACAGGACCTGGGGAGACAGGTGGTGGCGAGGCCACAGGCTACAGTAGGAGAGAAGGGCTTGGCCAGGGAGTGCGTCCACGGTTCAGCTCAAGCTGTGACTCGCAAGTGATCTGTGAATGGACAGCGTGTGCCACGCGTGAAGCAGGTGCACAGCCTCTTCCCGAGGACAGTGGGAAGAGCGTGCTCTGGGGACACAGGCCCGAGCATGGCTCCACTGTGCGCCAGCTCTCTGGCTGTGGGTGTAGCTGACCTCATCTGGTGCTGGGCGTGGTGCCCTGCAGGGGGTGGCTGGACCAGAGAATGTGGGGTACGAGCACAGGCAAAACTGGGGTCCAGCAGTGTGTGGGGTGGTGCAAGCCCCAGGAAGCGGCAGAGTTGTTACAAGGTGTGGTTGTGTGCTATGTGGAACCACAGATGAAACCATATCCTAAGTGAGTTTGTAGTTTGTAAAAGACACTTTGTAATTTGTGGACAACTGCCACGGGACAAACAATAATAGACTTTGATTAGCATATGCCACTCGGTGCACGTGCCAGGGGATTTTTGTCATAGCTGTCTTGGCTACAATACTGAATTTATCTGGGCATCGAGTCATCATCAGCTCCGGTTTTGAGACTTTGGTGAGCATGCTCTTGGCTCAGAAGCACCTTCTGCGTGCTCTGTAGGCATCACCCCCATCTCTGTGTATTCTGGCTGAAAGGGGAGTGTTTTCTGGCAATAGAATTCGTTCTTACATTTTCTTATGTCATCAGGTAGCAAAAGTCTCTGGCGTCCTGTTGTTATTGCCCACATTTGTCCCAGGGCTGTTGCCGAGCGGGGTTGGAGGGCGGCATTTCAGTTCCCTTGCATATGCAGGAGGCGGGCCGGGAAGGCCAGGAAAGCAGTGTGGAGAGGGTGAGGGCCAGGCCAGGCAGGGCAGGGCGGGGCGTCAGCCAGTGTGGGGCTGCAACTCTTCACCTGTGGCTTTCCTGAGAGAACCCTTCCTAAGGGTCCCCTGAGTGTGACCGTGTCGAGGCAGCTGGCCTGGCGCCTTTCAGAGTTGGATCCATTTTTATTTTGAAAACAAACATGAGGCTTGAGGATGATGGCACATACTGCTTGACTGACAGGAACAAAAGGCAAGGGGATGGGGGCGCAGTGTGTGTTTGATGCGGTGGGCCTACGTGTGGGGCGTGAGTGTGTATGGTGTCCATGCACACGCGTGCTCAGGGTGTGCGGAAGCTGGAGGAGCCCTGTGGATGGGATTTGTGGGGGTGTGCCCTGAGCCATGCCCTGGTGGAGTTTGCAGATCCCGCCTGTCTCATGGGAAGGTGGCGGCTCCCTAATTTGGGAAGGTCACCTGCGTGGCCTTGGCCCATAGTCGGGAGAGGTGTGGACCATGCCATGCTGCCTACCAGGCACAGGGCAGGTGTGCACAGTGGTGCCCTGGGCAGGCAGGGGCACAGCGCCCCCAGGAGGGTGTCAGAGGCTGCAGATCAGGAGACCTGTGCCTGCCTTTTCTGTGACTTGTGGTCATAATTACTCTTCGTTGGTGGCTGCTATTCATGGTGAAACATGTGCTTCCTTATTTTAGAGCACATGACAACAGATGACATCAGTGGTCGTGCTAGTACATCGAGTGCTGGGTAAGGTGCATATCATGCCTGCAGCTCTGGTACTAAATCCCTTGCATTATGCTGCCGCTTGGCTTCCCAGGAGTGTGGGGCCTGCTGGCCCCTGGGAGCCTGACATGCCGGCACCAGTGACGGGGGCCTGAGGTTGGGACTCGGGTTCACTGGGGTGCAGGTCATGCTTGTGTCGTGACTAGTTCTCTGCCATGGTCGAGGCACAGCCAGGAAGCAGCCAACAGGTTTTGTCCTGGTCTTTTCTAGCAGAGCTCGCTCCCCTGCCATTTTCTGGGCCAGACAGCAAGTGCGAGTGTGAGCTGCAGGGTCCCTGCACCCCCGTGAGCAGCAGGATGGACAGCAATGACGTGAGCTGGCTCCTGCGACTAGTGCCGTGGTGAGACGTGCAGAGGCCCTGAGCGTCAGGACTCGGCTGTGGCTCAACCTGGGCACCAGCTTCTGCTCTCCAGGCCACTACCCTGCGGGGGGCCTGGAGCTCGGAGGGGCCACTCAGAGAGGGCCCCACAGGCTGACTTCATGCTCACAGTGACCTTGGGCCCCTGCCTCTGGGGACGAGCCTGGCACCGGGGCCGGCGAGGCCCGGTTTTCACATCTGCTGCAGGGCAGCCCGAGAAGCCTCTGCCAGCGCCGTCTTTCCTCCATGCCTTGCAGTTCAACACCTGTGAGTGAGGCGTGATGGGAGCGAGGGGCTCAGAAGCCTGACTCCCGCAGAGCCAGGTGTGCAGATGAGGAGGAGCCGCCCGTGGGCTCATGTGGTCCTCTGAGAAGTGGAGGCCACCAGCCGTGGGCGTAGATGCCAGTGGGCATGGGTGGGCAGGCAGCGGGCCCCCAGCTGGGCTTGGGCCTGTGCTCCTTGTAGGAGGAGGTGGCCCTGAAACACTGCCCTGTCCTTTGGGGGGCTTGAAAAGATGTAAGCTCGGGAGCCCGCCAGAGTAGATTTGGGGTGACTCTGACCTTCAGCTCACTGTGTTTATTTTGGGGTCCTGTGTGCAACATGGTTTGGGGCTGTGTTAAACTAATCTGTTTAATGTAATCAGTTCTCCAGCTCCGAGGTTGAGGCCAGGTAGTTAAGGGCTCCACCCTAAAGTCTCTCTGCAGGTGGGTGCCGTCCTCCTTACCAGCTCTCTCCTGATTTTCTGTCACATGTTCTGCAGCCCAGCCTGGTTGGAGCCCTAGCCCTGAGAACTGCATTAGCCAGGGTGGAGTGTGTTCTTGGGCTACAGTCCCAGTGCAACATGGGGAGTCCTGTCCAACGCCCATGCAGAGTGGCCACTGGGCAGCAAGGGCTTCTGAGGGCCTTTGGAGAGGTTCTTGAGGTGTGTGGAAGTCTGTCGACTAGAGTGAAACAGGAGGGACAGATGAGGCTTGGGCAGGAACACATCCTCGGGCTGTTGGGAGGTGCTGTGGTGTGTTCAAGACACACCCAGATTTTGGGGGCCTAGAGTAGGTATGACTATAGTTGGTCCAGCTGAGCGTCGATGTCACCCCATTTTCTGGGCCCCCAGTGCAGGGTGGGTGTTCCTTGTGTCCTGTCATGGGTACCACATAAAGTTGCATGGCCTCCACCAGCCTGCTCCTATCCTGTCTGCTGTTGGTTCCCAGGGCTCCTTTCTGGAAGATGGAATGCTGCAATGAGGTGCTCATGTCCCCAGGGGTGGCTGCCCCCACTTCTCTCTCCTCTCTGACTTCTTCACATTCCTTTCCTCCCTCTTAGGCCCTGCTGACCTGTTTCTTTCTCATCAGTGGCCTCATGGTCACCCCTTGCTCCCTAGGTGATCTGTCCCTGTCTCTCCTGGTGTCATGTGAGGGCACTGGTCTGTGGCACGTGAGGGCAGCCGGAGGTCCTCGTCTATCCTGGTGCTGTAGGCTATGGTCTCCTTCCTGGGAGGAGACCTGGGTCTGTGCCCCTGGGGATCAGGGAGGCTGGGGTCACAGGCAGAGATGCAGTGCTGCCTGGCAGGAGTGGAGGAGTGCAGAGGCCTCTCCTCAAGAGCTGCCCACTGTGTAGTGGGCTTGCTGAGCCTCCCTTGGTATGGCTGGTGTGCCATGCTTGCATGCAATGCCCAGGGCTCTGGCTCTGATCCCTAGCTCTGCAAAATCAAAGCCAAGGGAACCTGGCCCCATCTCACACGAGCAGATCTGCCTGATACGCGCGGAGCCCCTGCAGCAGCAGGCAGGTGCCTGGGGCACTGATCTCTGTCCCCTCACTGACTGCTGTCTCCTCGTCTCCCCACAGGCTGCCTGCTGGAGGATGGCCTTTGTGGATCGACGGAGGCCTGCATAAATGGTGAGTGTGTGGCAGCCCAGCTGGGTCTCAGGCCAGGTGTCCTTGAGCGGGATGTGCTGTGCCCTGCTGCTGGAGGGCTGCAGTCAGGGGAACTGCAGGTGGAGGGACATGGGTCATGCACTTCACGTGCAGAGGTGTGGGCCAGTGTCTCATCTGTTGGTGCCCGGAGCCTAGGGCCAGTCACGGGGGGCTCTAGGAGGGGCTTCTGGTGGGGAGGTCGGGGCAGCTGTGCCTTTCCCCCTTAGCACCTCTTCTTGTTCTCTGCCCCCTTTCATTCTGCGCATTTGCAGATGGAGGTCTGGTGCATAGCGGGGGTGCTCTGCTGAGAGCCACTGTGCAGGGTGTGTGGGGGCCGGGAGACAGAGCCCGTGGGCTCCTCCTTCTCAGGAGGCTGTGTGTATCTTGTTCGATGGGTCATGAATTCAGGACAGTTTGAGTTTGAACTCAGCTAATGAACCCAAAGATCAGCGAAGGGACAAAGAGATGCACAAGATTCCCCAGAGTGAGGTGGGGACACACCCTCTGGTCTTGGCCTGCTGCCCACCAGCTATGTCTCCCAATGGTATGCTGGCAAAGCTGCCTCTTCAGGGCCTGGATTCTCTGTACAGAGGCAGCGACAGGGACCCTCGCGCCCAGGAGGGTGTGGCTGGGGTGCAGCTGGGCTCCTTGTCTTTTAGGCCTGGTCAGGTGCAGGTGCCTGTTGCCCTTCCTTCTGGAGCACAGGCCTGTGCTCAGCGTGCACTACTTGCTTGGAGTCTAGAGGGCAAAAGCAGGGGTAGCAGGGGTCTCCAGGGTGGCAGACCTGTGCCTGTCGTCTGTCCTGGGCAGAGGTCACCCTTGGCAGTGTTTGTCTTTGTCTTTTTTTTTAATGTATCTAATACAGAGTCTGCAGGGTCTCACCACACAGCTTGGACTCGTAGTGATCCTTCCTGTTTTTAGCTTCCCAAGGTCTGGGATTACAGATGGGTGCCACCACACCCAGTCTCAGCATGCCCCCGGGGCGGGGACAGCACTGCAGGCTTGGGATGGAACACCCGGCCGCTGCATCTGCCTGGCAGGCACTTTAATCCACTGAGCTGTCTGGCCGGCCCCTCTCCTTTGTCTTGTTCCTTGTCAGGAAGGTTTCTTCACAGCATATGACAAAGTAGGATGGCAGGACAAGGACAAGAGAAGGTTGGCAGGTGGCCACTGGCCGGCTGTGTGGTGTCCTCCCAGTTCAGCCCTGGGCTCCTTGGAATGTACCTCAGAAAGCTTTCCTTTGGAGGGAGCATTTAAAACATTGTATTAAATATGTTATCTTCCCAAACGCAGCAGATTGTGCAGGTAAAAACGTAGGCATGTTCGGTCTGCCTGGAAATGCCTAAGTGTGGGCAAAGTCAACTCCGAAGCTCGCACCTGCCTTTGACAGGCAGCAGATCTGGACAGCCGGCCAGGACTGTTCTAGGGTTTCTCTTCTAAGCTCCTCTTGCCTCGCTCATGTGCATATTAAGCTAATGGCTTTGCATCCTTTAGAAAAAAAAGAGATGTTTAAATGTACGTAGAAATCTTCAGGCCTGGTTCTCAGCAACAGTCGATGTTTGGGCCCCTTCTCCAGGACAGCTAAGCCACAGCGGCCAGCCAGGCAGACCTCCATCTCTCAAACTGCACCCCAAGTCTCTGGGAGGAGCATGGGAAGCAGCACATTCTGCTGCCCTCACTCAGCCTGTATTTACTGTTGTCACGGTAACCCCATAGCGGGGCTGACAGCGGATTGGCCACAGGATGCGGCAGCCGCACCGGAGACAGGAAGTCCAGAATGCTCCAGAGTATTCTGCAGTCAGGCAGCAGTCTCCCTGCCTTCTTTTCTTGGGGTGCAAGTAGAAATGTATAACCCCATTAGCTTGTACATGTTTTCTCAAAGCCCAGCAGCCTTTGTTACTGAAAATTGAAATGCGTGGGTCAAATGAGATACTTTGTATCTCAGTTACTTTTCTTGTGGCTGCGCCAAGAGGCCGTGGGCCCTCGAGTTACAACCAGCCTGGCATGAGAACTGCGGGTAGAGCTTGGGTTTTTAGGGTAACATATGATCCCAGTCTTGAGCTGTGAGCTGAATGCCAGCTGCTCGTGCCTCCAGATGGCCTCAGATGCAGATTTCATCCTTAAACAGTTCTGAAAGGAACATTGCAACATCCTTTCCGGTGTGAGGTGAGTGGAGGAATCCTGGGCCAGCATCTCTCTGAGGACACTGAGGTCTGCCTGTGTCCAGGAGAGAGACTTTGAAGGCCGTGCAGAAGAGCCTGAGCCTTCAGCTGACTGAGTTACAAGCAGCTCTCGGGAACAAATCCGTTTGTACATTAAGAGTGCACTGTGCCCGACACTAGCAAGCTAGGAGAGGAAAGGTTTATTTGGCTTCGTTTGTAGCGTTTCAGTGTGTCATTGGGTGGCTCCAATACTCATGGCAGGCAAAGGCAGCACGGGCAGTGGACGACCACAGCTCCTTCCGTCCCTTTGTCTCATCCAGGATCCTTGGAGCAGGCAGCACTTACAGCCTTGGCCCTAGCACTGCACCAGGGACTAATCCCAGCCTCACACACTCAAGATCCAGCTGCCTCTGAAAAGCCCTGCCCATGACAGCAGGAGGCTTGGAGGACGCTGGACATAGCCATGACATCTCATGAGTCAGAAAGAAACCTCCTTGCCAGCCCTCACCTAGTAGGTTGCTACCTGACTTAGTCGCTCTCCCCTCACTGGTTCAAAGCACTCACATCCACAAGTGGAAGGAGGTCAGGGTTATCTTGGTTTGCAGGGTCAGAAGTTTCAGTCCCTGGTGCATGGTTGGTCCAGATGCAGAAGTGGCAGGGTAGGAAGGCCTGGCGGGAGAATCTGAATACCAGTCATGACGTTCAGTAGCTCTGAGTGGGGCACATCCAGAGACAGACAGCAGGTCTACAAGAACACCCCAAGGTATGACAACCGGTTACACTATATATGGTGTGATTTAAACATTTGAATGTTTAAATTAAGAGATTTACTATTTTAGCCAAAGGCCTATCCTGTGAGTCCCTGCCAAAACTCCCTCCTTGCCTCCAACATTTCTGCAGCGGCTCCGCAGTCCTCCTTCCTGAGTGTCGCTGGCTGCAGCGTCCTGGCTGCCTCCATGTCCTGAATAGATCCAAAACATTTCCCTCCCGGAGTCATTTTGACTGAGGGAAGAGCCAGAGCTGACACGGCTCCAGATCTGGTGAATAGAGCAGACAGGGACACACCATTCTGTTTTTATGAGGCTGCTTTGCCCTGGGGGCACTTTCCAGCAGCCTTCACCATATTTTCTACATTACATTGTAAATCCATGGCAATGACATTCACCATGTTTTTGATCACAGCTTGTAAAGACATGATTTCTAGAAACAAACACTGAGGAATGGAAAAGGGGGGCCTCGGTGTTGGAGGGAGCTGCCAGGCCGGCTGCACCCTTGCAGAGCTGGCACTGTGGGTACCTCACCACGGTCAGGCGAGAAGAGCAAGGCAGGTGCCCAGGTGTTGGGAGGTGGCAGCACGATGCTGGGACGGTGGTGTAGCTCACAGCCAGCTGCTCTGCCTCGGGGTACAAGGGGTGTCAGGCGCCACCTCCCCACCCCTCCGTGCCTCTTCCCAGTCATTGTCGCAGTACTGGTCTGGCTCTGAAGGGGGCCAGAAGCATCAGAAGGTGAAGCAGCGCAGTCTGGCATCACTGTATTAGGACCTTAAACTGGACCAGCTTCAGCTGGCCAATGAAGAGCGACACCTGGGTCCTTAGGGAAAAGAAAGAGCAGGGGCCCAGGTTGGGCCCAGGTTGCACTACGGCACCGCCAGCCTCACAGTTACACCGCAGCAAGAGGGCCTTTTGGGGGCCACCTACACCCCTGCATCCAGCCTGAGCCAGCCATGGCAGCAGGCATGGTGATGGGGCTGCTTCAGGTTTCCCAACGTGGGGAGGAGGCCGCTGAGGGAGCAGAGCTCTGAGCCCCACACACTGCCTGGGGGTGGGTGGATGTGCTGCAGTGAGCTTGGTTTTACAAAAGAAAACAAGAACCTGGGATCCATTCAGAGAGGAGATTAGACCTGAGATGTCTATGGCAGAATCGCAGCTTCTGGAAGGGATCCCCTGAACCCGTGCCCGTGCCCTTCCTGCAGGGGCTGGAGCAGCAGCATGGGCGAGAACGTGCTCGTGCCTGTCTGAGCGGAAAGCCAGGCCGGTGGCCTCTGTCCTGAGAGTCAGGGTCTGTTAAGCAAAGGCACTGTCGGGGATTCCTGCCACACAGGGGCTGCCCAAAGTGAAGGGTGTCAGGACATTCACGCCCACACATCCCCTGACCTGGGTGGTGTGACATCAGCCCCTGTGGGGTTCCCCAGAGCAGGGAGGGCAGCCGCGGCCATGGTGGCATGAGGAGGGAAAAAGAATGGATGGGTTGTTCTTTTCACAACACAAGAGACACAACCCCAGCCCTGGACCAAGGGGTGGTGTCCTTACTCATCCTAGGTCCGCAGCTGAGAGCCCCGTGACAAAGACAGTGACAGGAGAGGGTCCCCACTTCATATTAACTTGACCTCAGTCAGGAGCCTTCAGGAGGGAAGACAGAAACAGGGAAGCATATGTTTTAGGGGTGTCCTGCAGGTGTACCTTGGGCCCAAGGACCTGGGGTCGGAGTGGTAAACTGAGATGAGGCTTAGTGTGCTTGGGGATGGGGGGTCCTCTGCTGGCTGTGGGCGAGGCAGGGGGTTCCAGCTTCCAAGTTCTGGTCCTGCTCTCTGCTTGAACACATGGTGCCGAATGCCATAGTCTGTTATGGGCTAGAATGTCAAGTCCCCAAAGCATGTTTCAGAAACTGCCTAAGAAACGCTGGTACATGGAATCAATTTATAAATGGCAAGTGCAGCCGACTTGGCCTCCTCATCTGACCACAGCTCTTAGGAGGCCACATTCCTCACCTCTTCAGCCCGGCCCTACAAAGCAGCAAACGCATGCTGTCAGCCAGGGAAGG